GCTTTTCAGTCTCGTTTTCAGCTTTTCCTTACGGCATTGAGAATGTATCGGTTTTTGACTTAAAAAGGCCCCGTGAAGTAAAAAATTTAAATTTACAAGAAAAAAACAATAAATAGTTATCCCGACAAAAACAAGTACAAAAAAAAATCCGGGCTTTCTACGTTCAGTAGATCGCTCGTAACACACGTTTAAAATTCCGTCGACCGATTCGGTGACGTCACCGCTCCCTGTTGAATACGCAGGTCCTACAATACATAGCGCACTTTTTACAACTCTGCAGTCGTGAATGCGCAGCGATTTTAATCGATCTTTTTGTTAAACTGAAGTTTCAAGTTTGTGCTTCTTACAAAAAAATTATGGAAGGAATTAACCCTTATCAGTTTGAACCTTTTAAGAGATGAAGTTACTCGTGAGCGACAAGAAAATGAAGAAAGAGATTTTGATGACCTTTTGATAAATTTTTTTCAAACACTTCGTCAGCGTCGTCACTACTTTCACATTCGTCCTCAGATAAATTCCAAGATAAATCAGTAACAGCATTTTAGTCGTTGTCTAATCCATAATTCTAGTCTAGTTCGACTTCACCTAAAATTTCTTTTCCTAGTTCACATTGCACGCCAAACTCATTTCTAACGGCAGTGATTTTCTCGATCATTGGTACATTAGACTCATTTACCTCAGAAATACTTGTGTTTCCCATAACAACCTCACACATGTCTGTATTTCTTATTACACTTCTAGTAGACGCAGCGTCTTGGAAAGCTTCAGCTACTGTTTTTAGCGTAACACAACGAAGTTGAGGTAAAGCTTATGTGCTCGTGTTTCCGTCCGTCCGTCCGTTCCATCGAGATCTCAGCCCCTGGGCCACCTAGAGACTTCGGGTTTTCGCTAATTGATAGCTGTTATGGTCTATATTTGCCCAATTCGATCAGTTTCATTTAACTCCATATTTTGCGCAGACTGCGCAATGCCAACTTTCTTATTTATGGAGATATTGCTTTGAAATTTTAACCACAGACGCTTCTAGTAAAGGCAAACATTTCGCACATAGTAAAAATTATGTGGGCATACGCAGTGACTGCACAGGCTGCTCATAGCCAACTTTCTTATGTATGGTAATATTTCTTTGAAACTTTATAACTTATAACTCCTCTCTTTCTCTGGACGTGGATGTGCTTCAATATGCAGATTCGACATTTTGTGTGCTTTTGGTGACGATGCGTCGTTTCAATACTTTGTGTTACGCGGCAATACCCACGAGTGGGTTTTGGAACATTTTTTTTCTAGAATATGTCCCTGTTTTCCGTTCGCGTTTAGAAAACGCTTGCTTTTCCCCTTTTAAATACAAGGAAGGAACCGCGGTCTTTTTAAGTACATTTCTAATTTTGCAGTCGGTCAATTTACTTTGTAAAACAGGGCCTGGTTCGAAAGCTCTACTGGTAAAATGTACGGAACAAACTACAGCGCTTTTAGTCGGTTCAAATTTAACCCGATTTATCCTCTTTACCCATGATTTAAAACGTGAGGGCGATTTCTCACGACTAGGAAATTTATGGACAGACTACAGTTTGATTAGTAGAATTTCTACATTTATAAGCACAACACCGTGTCATTTTAGTACAAACACAGATAATCTGTGGTACAACAATACCTCGCTAGATAGATAATACGCAACTGCAAGTATAATAGCCCTTACGTGTGGGAGCGGTGACGTCACCGCATTCCTAGTAAATATTTAAACCCCTACTGTAACTAGGAAACGGGACATGACACTGACACAGGATTTTTGTTTGTTTCGTTTCTAAGAATATTATCTTTAGTTTCAATGTGTCACAATTTATGCTTCACTGCGAGCCTTTAAGAAAACGATACCATAAGGATACTGAATAAAGGTCCACTCAAACCAACGCGGAAACGGGAGCGGGACGGATGCGGCAATAAGTTACCTGTTATACAGCTGCCTTATTTTATTTGTTACCTGCTTGTGTCCCCAACCAATGCGTTGTTTTACATGAACTTGTTTTTGAAATCATGTTTTGTGCACATGTGATTTAAAATGGAGTAATCCTCCCTTTGTAAATTGCTCATTGTGAAATATAATCAACCCTCTAAATTGTATACGTAACGGATCAGTTTTTCTTTTTCCATCTCTCGATACATTTATTCGGTAGATAATAAAGTAGCATGACAATGATTGTATCGACAATATGGTATCCATGGAATTTATTCAGAGTAGGTATTAAGAGGTGGAAAAACCAGGCCTAAAATTAATAAACAAAACACAAAGTCCTTACAATGAAATGCGTTTTATTATCAATCAATTAATGCAATAAATTATCGTGCTCCTTGACATAACATTTGCTCATTCGAGATTATTGAGTACATTCAATTAAAATAAAACTGATCAAAATGCAAAGCGATAGTGGTAAAAACTTCAATCACAGAACTGTTTTACAATACAGTAACCTGAACAAGTAACACAACGTGCTGTATAATGGCCATCAGTACGTATTTGCAGCTATACTCGCAGCCAAATAGTTTGGCGCAGTTTCTGCGAAAGAAATGTAGCAGCGATGTGAAGACGTACCTACTGCCAAAATGGCGAGTCATAATCAAGCTGCTAAGACGTCACCTCAGCCATTTGGATTGGCAGTGGTGGTTAGAATGTCAAGCAGCAAAAGCGCATCGTCAGTTAAAATTATGCGCTGTCATAACGTCACGACAGCTAACACTGTGACCAAACTGCAGCCAAAATCTGTTTTTATCAAAAAGGAAAAAAAATAAAATTAATTCATTATTGGTGTTTCTGCGGATCCTATTTGTTCCTACCATACACATTTTTTTTATTAGCGCGTTTCATACCGTTGGCAACCGCCATCGTTTTCACCTACACATACTTTTTTTAGTAGCGATTCTCTGGAGGTGGTCGGATTCGAACACCGTCTATAGAAACATACCAAATTGCGTGCATCGAAATATCCATCTGCGCTAATCTGTAACATGACGAATAGTTCTGAACTCGCGAGTGTTAAGCGAAGCGTTGTTTTTGTTTATTAATAGTAGTGTTTTTAATCATAATTTAAGTGTTTGAGCCAAATTACGTTCAAATCAATGCGCGGAAAACTCATACGATGAGATTCATGATTGTATTCTCCAATGACCGTACATCTTGTGCATCTGTTATATGCATTGAAATTCACAACACCTGCAATTAAAATTTAAATTCTGCTATTTCCTATACCTTAGTATCCTTACCTTTTGCAAATGAACGAGCTGGAGTGTCGCAAATGAAGCATCTCACCTTTAAATGCATTTTATTCCATTAATGAAAATCCCATTCTTTAAAAGAGGTTTTATTTCTTCTACAAATGGTGTTAAAAAACCCTGAACACTGGGTGGTTTGGTGGTACCACAATAAATGCCCACTACGAATGGATGCAAGTTTCGCATATTGTTTATTAAACACAAAATGGGCCAAAATTCCATTTTTGTACTGTTGTATATTGGTAACCCATCAAATTGAAACTTAATTCTAAATTAGTTAACTATCAATCTTAGGTAGTAAGTTAACAATTCCCTTTTCGAGTCCATTATGCCAATAATGGCCATTGCCCATTTTCGCAATTGTTGTTTCTCTGGGGGTTTGTAAAAGTGTTCTTGATGATTTTGGTAGGTTAGGTAATTTAAGTACATGTAAAATCGTTAACAATGCTGTAATGGCAACATACTTACCACGGTTGGTAAAGGCAAGCACCTGGGGATGTAATCTTGGTGCTCAGGCAATATACTATTACCAGACTTCGCTATCTTGGTATATACCTATACCTAAGGTACTATCTATATTTAAATTAATGGCATCGTTAAATGACATCTATACGAAAAGCAAGTTGAATGTTGCAGTACTGTGGTTGCAGTCTTTTATTTCTGAAAACGTGTGGTAGGTACCTACCTAAGTACCTATATTACAAAATCAGTTTGATCCTGTGGCAGCAATTGGGAAATTATGAAAATAAAATTCCGAATGGGTATTGATGGGAAAGTCATTTGACAAATATTCTGTAACTTGTGTGTTGGAAAACAGCAACATAGTAGTAGTAGGTACTTACCTATACCACAGACAACATATACTATATGTTGTCTGTGCCTATACTATGTAACACAATATATATTCAGCATTGTGGAAACCAAGAGGGTTCTACTTATACAAATGTTAATTAGATTTTACAATAGCAACAATATGGCTGAACAATAATAAATGTAGTATAAATAAACATATATTGCAATACACAGCATTAGTTTGTTTTTCCTGTGCTGCATTACGCTCGATAAACAAAATTTAAAATCATTATTATTGTCAGCTGGTCAAATCCATTAGCATTGTAATGTAATAATTAGTGATTGCCGAAATTAGGATACACGTGCATAAGGTTTCAAAACTTTGAGTTCAAATAATTGTTGATTCATAATCATTGCATTGAACTGATTTAAATTTAATTGCATTAACTTTCTTGCGAAAACGCTTATTATAGCAGTAAGCATTATTCCACTTTCGGTGTGTCACTAGTAGGTTAATATTACTAACAGTAGATTTGTAATCGAGATCGAGTAAGCATGTACCATTAATTACTGTCTACGGAATTTATTCAATTCCTAATAAAATAAATATGAAGTTTTCGTGATCTTAATTAAACAAAACCCCTGCAAATATCACAGCATGTTCACTTTGTAGTAGTAAGTAAAATACCCACAAATATAGCAAACACTACTTACATCTTGAAGTTAAAAATTATTTAGTTTTAGGACATTAAAAGGTTTGCTGTAGTAGGTATGGAGGTGAGCAGGTCGTCACATGGTGGTGTGTTTGTTAACTGTAACAGAGGTTTCAATTAAATACATAAGAAAAACTGATTGATTATAAATGAATTATATATTTAAATGGCATGATGTTTATATTGTACTAAAATAATTACATAAGTCTTCAGAGCAAAATAAAACAAAAATAGTATAATAGTTATTTTAATCATAAATAAGTAAATAGTATAAAAATTGGTTAACAAACACATAAGTTAAAGTAATTATTAGAAAGTGAATGAAGCTTTAAATGACGCGAATGTACCTCCAGCTATTTTGAAGGCACAAAACATTGTGAGAATTAAGATTACATATAACGGAATTAAGACGGCCGAGTAGATGTGATATCGGTTTAGTAAAGTCAGTGATGACACTACAAGATGCGATGCAATAACACCAACCACTTGTAATTTGTTTCCATTATCGAGAGCATTAAAAAATATCACACTCCAAAACGTATGAAATAAAATAAATGACAAACTTATTGTAGAACTGACTAGAAAGAACATTTGAGTACCAGACTTCAATCCCATCGTTGCAGGTCCAATTGCATCGGCCAATACGTTCACCAACGAGAACATTCCACTTATTATACCGAAGCCCAAACCGCTAACATAGGCCAATATGTGCTTATTTTCAATCAGTTGCATACTGTCATCCGTAATTCGTTTAAGTCCGTTTTCAGCCTTTCGTAATATCTTATAAATCAAATATCGGAAGATTTCTTGAAATATCACCGAGAACACTAATCCAAACGCCAATTGACCTCTTAAGGGAACCACAGCGAACCACCACAACGACGATATTAGTAAGGACAGCAGCCAGAAAAACGAAGCTGCTATTAGAATTATTATTCGCACCGGATCGTGGGCTACTGTTAATATGAACATTGCTAACGGAGGGCCGAACGCCAAGAAGATGCAACCAAAAAATTCCACAACGGTCATTGTTGCTCTTTTCAAAATTTGTTTAGTTTCCAAATGATTAAAATATGGATTTCTTTATTTCTTTCTTGTTATGGAAATTTGAGGTTATATTGGTAATTGTCAAATTTATAGCTTTCTTCGAAATGCGAGCATTGTTGTCACGTTCTGGTAAAATCAGAGTGCACACCGAAATAAACGCCATATGCAGTTATTACGTTCTAAAATCATTACAGCTTTGACGGCTACTATGCTTGTCGCGTAATGTCAAAGAATCTTAGGATTTTTAAATGTTATGAAGATTACCTTACAATCACCTTAAAAATTATTCTCAAATTTATGAAAATTAACTTTGTAGTTATTTTCATGTTATATGTTTATGTTCAAAAAGTCCCTTTTTTCTTAATCGCAGGATAGGAATGCGCCATCCTGGGATAATTGTTAACATTTCTTGCAAAATTGAAACGGGCATACCCTAAGTCCCAAACACACTAAAAAATCGGCTCGTATAACGTCCATGATGTTCTTATACGCGCTATAACTTTTGTCGCTATTGTCCTAGGTGGCTGAAAATTTTTTGGGCACATTTTTCATTATTAAATAAAGACTAAAAGTGTCTTAGAATTTCTTGGGACCGCCTTGGAATTTTTTAGATTTTTTTTAAATGTTTATATTAATATTTATTTTGACTTGATATTATTCATATACGTTATATTAATTAAAGTTACCTAATAAAATATAGGCAGATTTATTAACCGGGTGCCCGCCACGGCACCACTGCATCGAAAATATATACTTCGCCGAAATAGTACCTCACTGCGAAAGAGCAGCTGCCATTGAATTTATAAATTCAATGCAGCTGCGAAGTGTACTTGACATGAATCCTTAGGACAAACCTCGGATACATGTATCTCGCATACAGTATCCCCGTGTAAAAGCGGTTTTAAGCTGCATCTTTTTAACATGCAGTGTAAATAAAATTTAAAAAAAGAAAGTCTTCATATCTGCGCAGATGACTGCAAAGTCCCTTTATTTGTCAGATATTAAAAAGAGAAATGAGAATCCAGCGGCACTTCAGATTCAGACATTAGGTCTACGCGGCTACGCCTGCGTTTAATATCTGGGTTTGTGCATGCGTGACGAAATTAAATAAAAATTTATTTGTTTGTAAAAGCAATAGACCCCATTAAAATTTGTATTTTGTTTCACTAATAAGAAGTATATTTTTGGGTTTTCCGTTCTGGAATGCGCCCCATTAACAAAGTCTTGGCGGTAAAATATGGCAACATCGCCCATCTGAAACTTAACCTATCTTTCATTTGGAAATATTTGTACTTTTTAGCGTTTTGAACGTTACGATTTTCGTGAATAGTTATGCCTTGAACAAAACCGCAAACATAATATTTAAAATTGTGCTATTAATTGTGCAAAACTGTGTTTTAATTTTTACTGTGTCCTTTAGCAACGTTATGTCAAGATTTTAGAATTTGTTAAAGAAATAATCTCTAAGAAGATGGCTAAACAAGCGCCAAACCCCATTGATGTTCAGGTATACCATTTGCGAAAGTTATCAGAACTTATACCAATTTTAGGATTTTCAATTCAAACTGCATTGCCGATTGAACGTATTCACCAACGCTGATAATGCAGCGTTTAACACACCATGTCATTTACTGGCAAATTCAAGCAGATTTGGGCTCATTTTTGTCGGAACCTCATCGCCCAATTTTCAAGGTGACTTATACTACTTGCTACTGATTATCAACTCCTTATTGTACATATTTGCAGTGATCCAAATCAGCGCTATCGAGAAGAGTTTACAAAAAGAAGTCGAGTTGAATGAGTATCCACGCAGGATTATCACACTACCTTCTCCCCCAAAACACCTATCAATAAATTGCGACAGCACAAAGCTGGCGGTTGTAGTCGAGAAAAATGGCTCCCCCTTTGCTCTCATTTACGAAACCGCTTCTTTTATGAAACAAGTAAAATCTAAGTAAGATTTAATTCGTACTCAATTACAATATTGATTTGCAGACAGCTGTTATAACTCAAGAAATACGACTTTCGACAACTCCTGGGGTTTGTGTTACTCAAAGCATGTGGAATCCTACAATTCCAAATATATTTACGGCTTGCAAGAGTGATGGTACAGTAGGTAAGTAATTTAAAGGTGATAAAATAAGGAAGGGAAACTCATGCCCAAGTTATAGATGAGTGAATGGTTAACTTGTTTGAAACAATTTTTAAATTCTCAGTTTCAGTTAAGGACAAAATTAATGACGTTAATTTCGATTCCTGAAATTTTGAAATGTGTATTGTGATCATTTATGTTGTTTTCTTACGAAAATCACGTTGGCGCTTATTTGTTTCAAAACGCAAGGAAAACCGAAATAGATAGGAAAAAATTTATAGCAGATAAATTGTAGAGGATTAAATTTCCCACAAAAAAAACTCCACAACTGCATATATACTCCCTAAACTGTGTTTTTTTAATAATATGCGTTTAAATATTTGTATGCGGTAGAAACATAATTTACAGTTGCAAATATTACCTTAAATTAAAGTATATTATTGAGAGTTTTAATTTTTGTATTGACACCTTTATGTAATGCTGTTACGTTGATTTGAAGAAAAGTTGAAAAATCTCTTTTTCAAAATATCTAGCAAACCATGAATTCTTTTGGAAAAACAAAGGATATTCTGACTAAGGCAAATCTTTCTCCATTTAACTTAATTTGTATCTTATGGGAATCCCTGTACTATTCATTAAAAAAACTATATCTCAAACGATTTGATCGTGAGAGCTTCTGTTCCATCTTCAATAGCAACCCTGTACAATCGGAATCAGGAGTCTGTGGTCTTGTGACGTCAATTATATTTTCTGATATAAGATGAAAAATCAGCGAAACAAACGATGTCAGAGGTTTATGCATTATAGAAACAAACTTAGCCTGTACTATTTTTTTTTTATAATAGGTTTTCTCTTGAGTTTTCCTTTTCATTACATTCAATGATTAAATAAAATATGTCGTAAACATCAAATACACTTCGGTCGTTTACTTTCCTTTTTGTAGAGTACATTATGTGCCACAGAGAAGATATTGAACGTCTGTGGTAGCTCGATTTATACATTGACGTCACTGGGCCACATTCCTGATTCCGATTGTGTATACTTTTACCCTAAATATATGCTCTCAAACGTAAGTTCTAAAAAGAGACAAATTTTTATTCTAACGATTGTGGTACTTACCTGTCTTATTTACTATTTACTTTACCCAATAGGTTTATACGAATTAAAAGAAACCGGCCTAGAGATAAAAGAGTTACCGGCCGAATCGCAAGCATTGTGCATCTGTTGGAGTCCAAAGGGAAAACAACTGGCGGTCGGTTCGTGTCTTGGCAAAATTACGCAATACAAACCGGATCTGAAAGCCATGAAATCGGTAAATCCGCCGCCGTCCGATGGGCCGCTAGCTGTAATCGCCGTCGAATGGATATCGAGCTTTCAGTTCATCGCCCTGTATAAAGTCGCAGGCTCGGAAACGTGCGCACTTTTCGTGGTTGATGCGCCCAAGGTGGGAGATGTGGTGTTTACAAATTACGAAGACATTTGCTACAGTAATGGAAACATTCGACCTGTGCAATTTTATACTATACATCAATCTGTTTGGTAAGTTTTTTAATTTATGTTTTTATTCTCTTTATGGTATATCTTTCATCCGGAAAACTGACCTACTTTTCGATAGGGCTGCGCGTTAATAGAAATTCACTACTTATCAATTAGATAGAGGTCTATCGATAGACTTGAATTATCGATATTTACCGATTTATCGATATCAATCATTTTTTGCAGCCCTACTTTTGGAACAATTTTCTGGAAATTTGTCAGTAGGGCTCTTCAGTAAAAGGAAATAATAATATGCTTTATTTTTTTTGTAAGCTGGTAAGAAAATAACATACATTCAAAGTTATAAACAGAATCACGCAAAAAAAAAGGATTAGAAAACAGTTAACACTGATCTAAGTTCCAATCCTGACGAACTGAGTAATAGCAGAGCTGGGTCGAGCGTTCTAAAAAACCGCTCGAGCGACGAACGCTCTAATTTTCTCAAAAATGGTCGCGAGCATCGAGTTGTTTTGCAAAGCGGAACCGCTTGCGAATTCCGAGCACTCCTAAAAGTGCTCGAGCGGTTTATCGCGTGCGCTCAGGAAAAGTGCTCACGAGCGAAAAAACGCTCAGGAGCGGAAAATGCGCTCGAGAGCGGAAAAAGAGTTTGCGAGCGGAAAAAAGCGCTCGAGCACCAAGCACTTTAAGTTAACGCTCGAGTATCGAGCACCAACCGGCCGCTCTGAAAACTGCTCGCGAGCGGATCGCTCCCAAGCGCTTTTTCCGCTTGGAGCGCTTTTTCGAGCGAAACGCGCACGAGCAGTACCCAGCTCTGAGTAATAGTATCATGTGTGAATAATACTTTGAGTATACGTAAGAACTAAGAAGTGAAAATAGGTATAAAGCGAAGATAAGAAACAAGTTAAAAAGTAATCTAAACGATTTACATAAAGCGCATTTCCACTTGCATTCATTTCCCATTTGTAAGATGCAACTCTGTTAAAATCGTAAAAATCCGGCCACAAATATGAAAGATAGCGTTTCACATGTGCAATCCATTTTTGACGTGCTACTTCAATTTCTTTTTATAAGAAGAATTTCATTTCAATGCTTTTCTAAATAAGAAAGTTGGCACTGCGCATGCGCAAAATAAAATTTTGAAACTGGCGCTCGATTTTCCTTTATTCCAAGCACCTATGTACTTCCTATGTATCACATTTCATTTAAATTCTTCCATAAATAAAAAAGTTGGCACTGCGCATGCGCAAAACCAAATTTTGAAACTGGCGTTTAATGTTCCTTTATTCCTAGTGCCTATGTATCAAATTTCATTCAAATACTTTTATAAGTAAAAAATTTTGCAATTCGGTTTATAAATGGTCGAGATGCAAAAAGGGCACTGTGAATTTTGAATCGATTCGACTCAACTTTTGGCATTGCGTATTATATGGCTAAAGCTATGCCCATATTGAATTTCATGTAATTCAGTTAATAACTAACGGAGATGTAAAAGCGATCGGACATTTCTAAACAAAGTTATCGTTCGCACGACAGATACAGAGACAGACAAAGAAAGAAACGGACAGACCAACAGACAGACCACAGACAGCAATACAAAATTAAACGATCTCTTGGATCGTTAATAAACGGCAAAAGTGTAAAGTTATGGAACATGTAAAAAACGGTTTTTTTTTTTTTTTACAATAACTTTTTTTGTAAGCAGTAAAGACAAAATTCCTTCCTTGGTGCAAGCCTCGACACCATAATGAACCAAATAGAACAATAACTCTTAAGATAAAGAACTAGTAGCGTCGCAAAACGAGCGGACGGACGGACGAAGTGGCCACAATAGCGCATTTTTATTTTTTTTGTGTGGAAATGTGCTAAAAAGAATTGAAGTTACGAAAAGAGTTTAGATATATCGCTCGCATGTCAAAATTCGCGTGTGCGCATGCGCATAACCAAGTTTTTCATGTATAGAGTGATTTCATTGAAATTGTGATATTTAGAGTTAACTATCGCATACCTATAAATGGCATTACTGTAGAACTTAATTTTTGCGGTTAAATGACCGAAATATGACGTCCATACTTTTAGTTAACTAATGGCTTTGAACACGCGTAACTCACTTGGATGCCGAGTATGATCCATACAAAAGCACAAAAATGTGTGAATATCAAGCACAATTCCAGAGTTACCACATATAAAAATAAATAAGATAAATAAGAAAATTAGATATGCACATGCGCATCAAATCAGTTTTATACTATAACCACTAGATTTACTGTTATGAGAAGTATCTAAAACGCTTCGGCGGTACATACAGGGTGTCTAAACGAAAGAAGATATTGAAAATGGCGAAAAACCGTTTCGGGGGTATCGAGGGGGAACCAGAATGACGTTATGAGTGACAACCCCCAGCCCCCCCCCTTTTCAAATATCCTAAATGGCAACCCCATACTTGTGACACATCGTTTGAAAGCTACTGAAAAATGTTTTCCAGTGGTACCAATATTCATTAAGACAATTTAACAAAAATTTAATAATTAACAAAAAAAAACATTAAGGCATGCCTATGTTCAAGATTTGGTCGCTAAATTCGAAGAAACGGGATCTATTATCAATAAAAAAGAAAGCAACCAAGATTGCTTAATGAAGCAGCTCATTTAGGATTTTTTGAATTTTTTGATTTTTTGAAGAGGGGCGGTTGAGGGGGGGGGTTGTCACTCATAACGTCATTCTGGTTCCCCCTCGATACGGTTTTTCGCGATTTTCAATATCTTCTTTAGTTTGGAAAATATGGCCTACTGCAAGTTTTAAAATAGACACTCTGGAAAAACTCTGTAGCATTTTTGTACAACTTTGCTTTTCAAAAAAATGCGAGAACACAATTATTAAGCTAAAATAACCTAATGTTCAACTCCGTTCAATTGGAATTAGCGGGACATCGAGTTATAGGCGGTACGAAGTTCGTCAGGTCTGCTAGTAAGAAAGGTTTCAAATATGAACTTTGATACAGGCTGTTGATTAATGTCATGCATATATTTCAGGGGGTGATAGTACTCGTCAAAATAAGAAACAAGTATAAAGTGTGCACAACTCTTGTGCAGATAAAGCGCATTTTTTTAACCGAAATAGCTTTTGTTTTGACATCACCAATGGATATGTTTCATGCAGACGTCCCAATCGCCCTTTGTGCGTGTTCTTGAGGTATAAGGGAATATACCCGATCACGATAAGAGGTCGAGGGCTATGGTTGGTAGAAATTAATTCCTTTCGTTGAGACCTTTCATTAGAGTACCATGAAGGATAAAACTAGTTCCACCCCCCCTCCCTCCCTACACCCCGTCCTTTGATAAGAGGACAGAAAGAAGGGCAGTAGTTGGTAGAAAACGGTTCCTTTCGTCGAGACCTTTAATTAGAATACAATGAGAGATAACATTCATTTTTAACGCCCCCCCCCCCCAGGCCCTGTCGCTCACTGGCCCTGTCGCTCACTGATCTCGAAAAAGAGTCGCACGGGTAAGTTATAGTTTGTACAAACCAATTTATTTCGATGAATTGATTGAGAGACAAAAAATTGAAACTTTACCACCCTGTATAACGAAAATGACGCCCTTTACACCATGCACATATTTGCATTTTTTGCTTATTTTGACGAGTGTCCTGAAATATATGCATGGCATTAATTATTAACACCCTGTATTTTGAAAAACATGCTTGTCAAAACGGCTGCCCCATTCCAAAACACAGTAACATTTTTTTCGAAAATGAGTTATCACTTCCATGTAGATACTGTGTTATTTCTGCATGTTTTTAGCTAACAAGGATAGCTCTATCTATTACCGTTACGGAGATAATTTTTGCCAAAACCCAGTATCTGCAGCAACGTAATTCATTATACTATTCCAAAACACAGCAAGTGGATTTTACAGACCCTAAACCACAGACAAAACACAATATGTGGTACTTACTGTGTATTGGCACTAAAATCAAATTTAAAAACTTAACCAAAATTCATGCACCACAACATAGTGTGTTTTGAAATAAACTATCGCACGTCATGCGCTATACCAGGAAACAATTAATGTGTGATATATTAGAACATATTATATTAACATTTGTATGGGACAGAATTCCAATTTATTTTCCGTTTCATTACTTGCATTTTTACATTAAAAAAATTGTATTTTGCAGTTACTGTGTTTCACTACCAACGATTCTTGAAAAGTAATAATAACAATAACCATATAAAAACACAGTATCTACCTTTTTTCGAAAAATAACAAAGAAATAAAAAGTGAAAATTTGTCTAAATTCTTAACCCAATATTAGCTATGCATGTGGTCAAAGTTTTCATTAATTTACTCGAAAGTTAAAAAACAACACATACTGTGTTTTGGAATGTTGTAGCCGAAAAGTTTCCATTAGAGGCGCAAATTTCAGTGCTCCCTTACATGTAACTTTTGCCTTGAGTCGGCCCTGCATGCCGTAAGTTGAAAAAATTCTGAATCATTGTTCACAGAGGGTAAATATAATTGGAAAATCTGGAGCAAGATAGGTAACTGTGGAAAACGCTCAACACATTTTACATCAGATCTACAATATACAACCGAGGAAGTAACTTTTGAATTTGAATACTTTAAACCTGACGTTAATTTAATATACCATTTGATATGCTTAAAAGTAGCCAACTCAAACAAATTTAAAAGCAATTCCACTCCTTTCCCATTTGTAAAATTTCCATAGTCCATAGTTTCTTACATAAAGTACATTAAGTACATTGTTCATTAGCCAGAACTCCTCCATACGGTAAGTCTTAGACTAAAGTTGTATTTTGAGATCAATGCCGCCAAGTAAATTTGTAACTTCGGCATTTACCTCTGCTGTTAATGACATTTAAAGAAAGGCAGATTCATACACAAATAATTAAAAGTTGAGGACATCAAATGAATATTAACAACTGGCCAATCTTAAACAAATCAAAATAAGAATAACATTTAAAGTGAAACAAGTAAATAACAAACAAATTCAACGGTTAGTAGGTACTTGCAATTACAAGCCTCTGAAGGTAATACAATTTACAACAAGGCGAAGAATTGCAGTTACATCTAAGCACATTACATAAAGCACAAACTTAGGGGCACGAAAATTGAAAATTAGGACAATAAAACTGTACTAGCTGCAAAATGCAAAGTGAGCAAAGCTAAATGAAGACACTATTTCCTTCAAGACAAGACAAGTCATCTTTGTTTTAAAAGTTGCTGATATAAAAATTGTGGCACTGTTGTAAAATGACTGCATTGTTTCGAGGCTAACGTTTTTCCAGCCAGTGTCTATATACGCTAACGGTGCCTGTAGCTTCAAATTTGAAATCGGACATCTCAACTTCTTTCTTTCTAAAAAAAATCGATTTTTGGTACTGTGACGAACTTGACTGATGACTTTATTACTTTTTACAAACTTCACATTGACTGAATGACTAATGCCGTAAAAGGTAGGAATCCTCTTCTCTTTTTACGTGTTTCACGCACACCACTTATATCTTTGACAACAGGCGTAATTGCACGAACATTAAAAACACTTGTATTAAACGTCATCAACATAGGATCAATTGTTTTCTTTATCGAACCGGTTAACTTTTATCACACCTGCTTAGCCTTATATGATATTTATTTAAAGAAACACCTGCAAATTTCATACAATTTAAACCTTTATCAAATTAAATAAAAACAATCATTCCGCACATCCATCTGCGGTTCTGCATTTCTGTGCGCTATTAATTTTCTGTTTCTTTAGGAACATACTCCTTGTGGCATCATCAAACAGTATGGAAGTGGGAGTTTTGGGCAGTGAGAAAGAACAGTGGACACAATGGATCTTGTCAGATGTTGCCAGAGCGGAGTTACCCTTGAGTGCAAACAAACAAGAAACGTTGCCGATAGGATTAGTTCTCGATACATCTCCAGTAGACCCCATTATATGGGGTGAACATTCTTTGCCGCCGGCTCCATTTTTATTCCTTCTGTCACACTACGGCGTATTGTGCTGCTTTCGGATGATAAACATAAAGAGTGGCGTTTCGTCGATTTGTCAGGCACCGGAATCATTTGCTGATAACAGCGGTCTAAGCTTATTTACAAAAGCTGCTAACCCGGTGAATCTTAAAGTGGAAGCGCCAAAACAGGTACCTAACCTTCATCATTATCTTTATACAACTTTGGGGTGTTACAGAGCATGCCGTTACCTTCGGCAAATGTTCAACCGATAATCAAATCAACAGCTCCATCACTGTTTAAAGATGCGTCTTCGTTAATTGCTCAACCGCTGTTTAAGGATGCAACGTTGCCACCACCACCACTCTTTAAGAATGATTCAGTTACAACAGCTGCATTTCTTTCAAAACCAACCCTAACTCCTGCTCCCATAATATCAGTACCACAACCCTCTATTCCCTCAACTCCCGCGTCCAAATTTAGTACCATAAAGCCATCTGCGCCACCTACGTCTAGTTCTGAGACTAGTAACACACAAGTGAGTGAAACAAAAGCTTTACCAGAAGAAACCGATCTCTTAGTTTCGAAGTTAATTCGCGAAGAATGTGAAATTTTAGAAAAGGAATTGCAAACCTTACTCTCCAAAGGACACTCATTAAAAATTCAACTGGGAACAGATTCAGAAGCAGTTCAGCTTGTTCAAAATGCGGACTCCATGCAAAATTTTCTTAAAGAGGTTGTCGAAAATAGTACAGTTCAAGCTGCTGAGGTGAGTGTAGTGTTGCTCAGTGGTATACTCATTGACCAATCTTTAGGTACATTCATTAAAACAAGCACTGATTCAAACATGGGCATGGTACGAGGACGCACGGTCTCGATATACACTGAGTCAGGAAGCCACACTAGAGGCGCTCCTGCGCGTCGAACAATTGGATCCTGTCTCACAACGTCGTTTATCTAATATACAGTACCTAACCTACTATCTCGAATCTCAACTGATTCAGGCGAACCGTGTCCTAGACGAACAATGGGAAAACTTTCAAGATTCGTGCAAGAAAACTTGCAAGCTGAAAATTCCTACTATCGAAACAATCTATCAAACGATGGTGCGACAAAACGCGATACATCAGAAACAGAAATATGTACTGAAAGATATAGCAAACCGAATCCGAACCCAACGTAGGAAAGCGAACGGTCAACCTCTATTCGTATCTCTAAATCACGTGGATCAGTTAGAGAGGGATCTATTACAGTTACAGCTGGATCCGCAAAACATAATGCATGCGCAATACGAACGAGTTCTTGAAACTCAAAGGAAACTTACAGGGAATAAAGTGAGAAAATTAGGAAGGTTACTATTGGAAAGGGACATAACGCATATATCGGTTAATAAACCTCAACTGTCGAATACGTCGTTACAAACGCTACTGAATAGCAGCGCTCAGATTAAACACAAGGAGGAAACCACGATTTTAGGCGCCGATTTGTCACCCATACCTACCAATAAGTGGACATCGCCAACACCTCAAAACACCAATGTAGTTCAGTCAACTCCAAAGATAGTGCCATTGACAGAGAAGAAGAAAGATGAAGAGCAAAAAGAAATTTCACCAAAGGTATATGTTTTTATTATACTAATCTAGAAGGTACATCGTTTCTAATTAAAGTCCAATCGCGATCGAATTGCTTATTGCTATAGTATTCCGCTATCTTCCGAGTGATCAGTATGTAGTAGCTCATCTGTGAGTTGCGCGCCACACATTTAATAATAAAGAAAAAATGTAAAAGGGAATCTTCGCTGGGCAAAACAAAAATATCCATAAATTAATACTCACATTCCTGATTATACACAGGAATAATAGGTCAATGTTCTGCTGTGTTGTTATTAATTTTGCCCAATTTATTAACTAGGTTTTGTTGCCAGCAAATACACTGATTGTCTTTCAATTCCCTGTCGTAACCCGTTATATACAAAATTTTGTTGATCGCCCAAGGCGCTGTCTAATGACGTCACTCTATTTTGAGGAACTGGTTTTTAACTAGCTGTTAACTATTAGCAATCCGAAAAAAAGAGTTTTTTTATTTGAAAAGCGGTTCTTCCATTCGAAAATGTTCCTTCGCGTAACTTTTGTCACTTACAAATAAAAGGTCTTGCTACGAATCAAAACTGGGAAAAATTTTTTCCTTGTCCCGTAATTGACTAATTCGTCTTTCGCTCTCCCCGGCAGATAAACCGAAACGGGCTTTCATTTCTAAACGCAATGACCTCGACGGGCGTGCCCTAACGATCAATAGGAAATCCGAATTTTCGTCACGTGCTCGGCTTTAAACAGAATGGAACGAAACTTTCCCAAGAGAACATGGCATGCGTGCCCGCTTTCCCCAATATGTTTATTGTTATCTCCAGACATACTTTCGTTCACGTTCGCTAAGAAGCGGTGCATGTGGAAATTTCCCTATATTTAACAAAATACAAATTCAAAACCAAATTTTTGAAACGGCAAAGCGACCACCTGTTATATGTACAGGCTGAGTCAAATTCAAGGGCCACCATGGGGATTTCGGAAACTAAGAGATAGGTAGGTAGTTAAATTTGCCAAAATTGCGTATTTTGATGCTTAACAAAATGCCGTTTTGAAACTGAAAAAAGTCTACTTTCGGGAATATCCCGAATTACTTTCGGAGATATCCTGAAAAAAACGAAATTTATTTCAAAATAAATGACACATTATTATGGCACCTTTTTTCCCGCTACAAAATGCTAGTTTTAAATTTTAAGTTTGCCGTTTCGTCTCTGGTTAACCGTCATCAACTTTGTTTTTTCTTATGGAAGTCATTTTTGATTTTTGTGTCATTTGATAGAGCATTTTTTTATGATTTCAAAAATGTAAATATGACTGTCTGAAAGCCCAATTATTTTGATTGACTTTATTTGTGAGAAAGATTTCAGCCAAAACTTTGGTATCAACCCTACAATTAAAAAATCCCTGTCCCAATCTGGTTTCGAAAGAATTCTCTTAGTTATAGCCGAGCATATATGCTTCTAGACCAGTGGTTCTCAACCTTTTAGGCACTGTGATCCCATTTTTAAGTTGAATATTTTGCCAACCTCTCTATGAAGTAGAATTTTCTTAAATACATATTAAAAACGTCTACAGTAGTTATAATTGTTTTTATTTGTTACTCAGTTGTAAACGTTGATTAACAAGACAAAACGCAAACGGGTAAACGTCATGTTTAAACGCTACTGACTTGTAAAACCGACAGCTGACCTGTAAAAATTTTACAAGTTAGTAATCTAGTAATTTCATTGGCCAGAATTAATGCGAAGTCTCTGTTACATGGATAACATGATATTTTAGACATTTCTTCGAGATCAATTTAAGAACTAATTATTTACGTTTACTATTGTTTACAAATGAGTAACAAATAAAATATTGCACATTATACGCCAGGTAATAGTTTTTACTGGCTCTAGGAGATGACAGGCTCGCCTGACGGCTCGCCAGTCAACTTCTCCTATCGCCAGTAAAAACTCATTTACCTGGCTAATAATGTAAAATACTATAATCCTAACAACCACGTTAAATTATGAATAAACGTTCAGCCCTGTGTCGTGTCAGAAACGTCAAATTTAACGTGCAGATTATCGGCCACAATACGTTATTTTCCGTTATTTAGTATTGACAAAATAACGTTTTCTACAAATAACTTACAGGTTAAGTTTAACGTTGGTGATGCATCACAGTACTGACTATTATCTGCACATTGTAAAGTCTGGCTATTGAATGATTGCCGGTGTAACATCACTAACGAACCATATGGTTGAAGTTGACTGAATTTTTCACCAGAGGCGGCGATACAAACTTTCAGGGTATCATTAACAGTATATTTTGGGTAGCATTTGAACATGTCTGGTGCAAATATACTCGAGAAAATTGTTGGTTATACTTCAATATATGTACGGGTTATGATGAAATAAATCAAAGTTTTCAGAGATCAAAACATTCTCTAACCCTCTCCCCTAGTCGTGGTGAAAACGTTTCTATATTAACAAAAACGTCTGAAGCCACAGACCCTAGTTGCTGTCCTATTAGTCCGAGTCTGAGCTTATGCACCAATATTGCTGTGTGCAATGGTAAGCGGTCACTACACAAAACACTTGTGCAGCTAGCTCAAAACAGGTCAAAATTGAAACTTAGATTTTTTATAATAGCTCCTCCTACACATCCAGCATATGCTAGGAGAAAGACCCTAATATTAATTTAAAATTTCTCCATGTCAGAAACTTGGCCTCGATCAACTTCCGAATAGAAACATCTGACATGAAAACAATCTGGATCGCACAAAGGATTCGAATAAACACAATTAATTGATTGACAATGACAAACATTTATTCGGATAATTCCTGACAGAAAGCTTGTTTGGACATAATATCCCGCACGCAGGCGGTCAACAAATAAAATTACAAAATTTTAAAATCACTTGTTTTTTTTAAGAATCCAAATAATCTGGTCGTGAAAGGTATTCAGGCACACAAAAACACTCGATGCCAGCGTCCTACTAGGTTCATAAATAAGATGAACAATTTTTGCTTTGTGCTCGGACGGTAGAAACCGTTTAGGAAGGTTACTAACTTCTTCCAAATACGAACATACCGACTTACAATGAACTTTTACTACTTCATGATAACTGAATTTTTTATTCAAATTGCTGCTTAACTTGTTCTCTACGCTTTATTTCGAAACCGACGAATTGCGTTTTCAACAAACAACTGGGGTAAATTTAGCGTAATAAAAATTGCCCGCTCTTATTACTAACACTTTCACTATCAAATGAAACCAGGACCTCAAGAATTTTCAAATCAACCGCCAGTTATAATTAGACTTGATAACGCCAGCTTCCAAGGAACGTGACAAACGCCCCCACGCCGAAATAACATGCAATTCTTCGAAACAGCGATAAGAACACGTGCGTTATTTAAATTTCGCCCGATAAAAATTCCTTATTGCAAACAACCAGACGTGCCCTCATTTTAACACGCAATTTCAAGCAATTCAAAACTTCTAAAAGGATAAACAACACAGACGCATATTCAAATACAATAAACCACGAGGAATGGGTTTAAAGAAAAATCTTTTTAAACACGTTTTTTTATTTTTCTGTTGCGGCTATCGATTTCGACCTAACGGTCATCTTCAGGCCGAGCGTCATTTGATGAAGTGAAAGTGCATGTGAAATTTTAACGATGTTATATATTAGTTGTCAGGAATGAAAATTAGTGTACCAAAAAGTGAGGTTGTGTAAACCACACAATTTACACAACCTCACTTTTGGGTACACTAATTTTCATTCCTGACAACTAATATATAACATCGTTAAAATTTCACATGCACTTTCACTTCATCAAATGACGCTCGGCCCCTGAAGATGACCGTTAGGTCGAAATCGATAGCCGCAACAGAAAAATAAAAAAACGTGTTTAAAAAGATTTTTCTTTAAACCCATTCCTCATTATACAACACGTTTAAAGAACGATGGAACAATACATCAATCACAATAAACCACCCCCAGAAGGGGAGGGGCAGCCTCACCGCCTTGCCTCAGCACATTATGCACAGTGTGGACTTAAATTCCTAACCCAGCCACTATACATACGTTGAAGTAGTATAGTGAAGTAACCTCTTGAATGCAATTCAGCAGGCGAAGAAGACTTCACTTACTTGGCACAAAAATAGGCAGCCAGTTCAAGACAAACTGCCTACGGCTCTCGCCTAATCGTTTGCCAGGCATTATTAAAGTTGATTCCTCTACATAGCAAACGCTGGAACATTTCATGACATGCCTAATTCACTGGCGCACTTACCAATTTCAACAATAAGAATCAAAATATGAACTACAGATGGTTTTTTAACTCATACACTTTCCTTGTCTAACGCATAGCATGCGATAATGACTGTAGTCGCATTTGTGTTCAATGAGCTTAGCTTAGCCGCAGACATACGTTTTTATGTCAATTTAATAAACACAGTATGTGTACCGGGTGACCCAATTAGACTGTTCCTCGGCGATATCTCGCGAACCGTTCGTCGTATGACTTAGGGGTAAAAAAAATTATTGGGTAAATCGGTTATGAAGAATCACTGGAAAATATTTTCAAGTTCTAAAAATGACCACCAGAGGACGTAACTGCCATCTTAAATTTTATATTGCATTTTCTTTAAATTTCGCATAATAAACTAAACATTCTTTTTTCACATTTTTAAAGAGAACCAATTTATCTATCATTTTCCTAAAATCAAAAACTCACTTATTTCAAAAACAAAGGTTGTGTGGGGCGTTCAATTGTTTTTCCAATAACCTGCTTTAACTTCTTAACCGTTTGACCGATTGTAACAAATTTGGTATCGTTGAAAAGAGCATTCCTTGGGCAATAACAATCAACCAAAATATAGTTAATTTAGTTGAATCCTTCTCCGCCAGGGGGCTAGTTTTGACACTATGATCCAAAATCCTAAAAAAATCAAATGAAATGATATGACTTTTTCTTTATGAAAAAGTAGCCAAATAACATCCAAAGAGGCCAGTGAAAACCGTTTTTCAAAATCTCGTTCCTAACCTCAAATATTGGGAAGATGAGTTTAATTAATTAATTAATAAAAATGCTTAAATTGTATCTTACATCTACTTTTGACGTATTTCCGGTATTTGTCGATGGCGCGAAAGATTGTTTGGAAAAGCACCCTACACTTTTAGGTAGCCCTTGGAAAACAAATGAAACATGATGCATTATAAAATAATAACAGCCGTAATTTGAAAATTATTCTGCTGTGTTTACAGCCGATTTCTAACCAAGAAGCATTTAATATGCAGGCGATATTATTTGAGTGTTTTCAAAATGCTACTATCGCTGCCCGCATCTTCTATTTGCGTTATCCGAATCAACCACGAACCATCGCCGCCAGCATATTAAAGGCTTCTTGGTTAGAAATTGGCATTTTAGAAAAGATTACAAATTCAAAAATCTGCACTTTCTGAAACACAGCAGAATAATTTACAAATTACGGCTGTTATTATTTTATAATGCATCATGTTTCATTTGTTTAATTTTCCAAGGCCTACCTAAAAGTGTAGGGTCCTTTTCTTTCGCGCCATCAACAAATACCGGAAATACGTAAAAAGTAAATGTAAGATACAATTTTAGCATTTTTATTAATTAATTAATTAAACTCATCTTCCCAATATTTGAGGTTAGGAACGAGATTTTGAAAAACGGTTTTCACTGGCCTCTTTGGATGTTGTTTGGCTACTTTTTCATAAAGAAAAAGTCATATCATTCCATTTGATTCAAACGATTAAGAAGTTAAAGCAGGTTATTGCAAAAACAATTGAACGCCCCCCACAATCTTTGTTTTTGAAATAAGTGAGTTTTTGTTTTTACGAAAATGATAGATAAACTGGTTCTCTTTAAAAATGTGAAAAAGGAATGTTTAGTTTATTATGCGAAATTTAAAGAAAATGCAATTATAAACTTTAAGATGGCAGTTACGCCCTCTGGTGGTCATTTTTAGAACTTGAAAATATTTTCCAGCGATTCTTCATAACCGATTTACCCAATAATTTTTTATACCCCTAAGTCATACGATGAACGGTTCCCGAGATATGGCCGAGGAACAGTCTTATTGGGTCACCCGGTACAATAAAGACCCTAGCAAATTAGTATTTCTGTGACGTCATGCCGGCAAATATTCAATAAACAGACTTTATTGGATAAGACAAGTAATAAATTCAGTGAATTTTAGGGGTCGGTTGAGAACCACTGTTTTAGACTTGAACGGAAACATGAATTTCATATCTACTGACAGTTTGATTGACTCCCTTACTTTATTTCTAGATCTTGATTGAGCCAAGCCGTGTTTCGAAAGAAGATTCGACTACCAAAGCAGTAGGTGCCAACAGTACTGAACCATCGAAGCCGATGCAGTCTTTTAATTTTCAATTCTCCTCAAATACCTCAGCTGTTGTTACATCAAATGTACCCTCATCTACGTTTACATTTACCAAACCTACAGCGACGGCGCAAAGTAAATCTGATACAAACGCAACTTCGCTCTTCCAGTTTACGCCCTCTACTACCTCTGTGATGCCCCAGTTTAGTTTTTCATCAACATCATCGTTACCTTCAATGTCTTCCTCGACTAAACCCTTTTTTTCAAGTGTGCCGTCATCAACGACTGCTGTGGAAAGCAAACCTCTGACAACCACAGTCAGTTCGGCGTTTGTCCCCACAACACAACTATCGTTCTCGTTTACCGCAAAGTCGGAGGCTCCATCTTTAGGTACAAATACTGTCAAACCATCACCGACTTTCAATTTTTCTGCGCCGATTACTGGAACTGCCTTATCAATAAGTAAAGTTACGTCTCCTAAAACACCTACAGCAACTACTAGTTCGGCAACGCTTTTCAAATTTAGTTCGCCTAAAACGACCACAGTCACAAATACAACTACCGGGGGCGCAATTTTTAATTTTAAATCTCCAATCTCGATATCTGCAATACCAACACCGGCTGCGGTGACGGTAACACCTGTAAGTGCGACTGCCAAATTACCTGCTGAACCTGCGGTAAGCACAAGCGCATTCAGTTTTGCAAGTGTTACTTCGGCACCAAACTCCGTATTCACTTTCAAACCTTCCGTTTCACAACCTCCGGCATTTGAATTTTCAAATGTCTCGAGTGATGCGGTGAAAGCTGTGACGAATGCACAAGTTTCTCTTACCAAGGCTACTACTACGACATCTACGTCTGCAGTTACCACTTCTGTTAAATCTATTTTTACACCTGTAATGACAACAACTGCAGATACTACCACTGGGAAAGAAGATGTGGCAGTGGCAGTTGCATCTTCTTCATCAATCTTCAGTAGCATAACAACCACTGCTTCTAAAACAACGGCACCAACTATATTTGGAAACGCTACTGTTGCGATTACTACCACACCCAGTAATCTTTTCGCCACAACAGTTACACCAGCAACCAATGTGACAATTACACCTACTTTTAGCTCGGTCACCACCACTTCATCAGAGACTGCTGCTCCAACTTCATCAGCACCATCATTTCCATTGACTGCCGTGACTGAATCCTTATATGGAACTGCTGTTTCGAGTACCAGTTCAGTATTTACACCACCTGCTTTTAACGCAGCTTTCACACAACCTCAGGCAACTCAATCTTCCATATTTGCTCAACCAACTACCACAGTTGCCTCATCCCCAATGTTTGGTGAAGTCGCAACAACTACAACCGGCGTATTTGCACCTCAACAAAGTGGTTCTGTGTTTGATAAACCTGCTTTTGGGAGCGCTCCCACTTTTGGTGCTCCTGCCGCTACTACGACAAACATCTTTGGTACACCTGCTCCATCCGCCTCAGTGTTCGGGTCCAACACTTCAATATTTGGAAATTCTACTACCCCATCGACCGGATTTGCACAACCTAGCTCGACGTTCAGCTTCTCAGCGGCCGCCGCCAATATTCCCAATTCAGATACGAAATTTGGATTTTCGAAACCGGCATTTAGTTTCGGAAATACGGCGCAGGGCGCAGAAGGTGGACCGTTCAGTTTTAACAGTCTAAACGTTGGCGCGCCTAGCACGACCGCCAGCACCAGTCCCATGAATTCGGCATTCGGGCAGCCAAGCAACGCGAATCCCTTCGCCAAGAATGTTTCGCAAGAACAGAAACCGTTCGGCGGAGGAAGTCTGTTTGGAAGCTCACCGTCCGCCACATCTTCCTCAATATTTGGAGGAGGAGCCTCTGCGCCAGGCGGTGGTATGTTTGGAAGCCCTTCACAGCCGGCTTTTGGTTCCACGCCCGCGTTTGGAGGCGGTGCGGCCTTTGGGCAGTCGCCCACCTTTGGACAATCGAATTTCGGATCTTCGTTTGGCAGTCCCCAGCCGTCGTCGGGAATGTTTAGCGGCGGCGGTACACAATCGGTCGCGCAAACCGGTTTCGGCGCGTTCAGTCAAACGCCACAAAAGTCGACCGGATTTGGCGGAGCACCCGTTTTTGGAGGTTCACCTAGTGCCGGTTTTGGAGCACCGGCAAGTTTCGGCGGAGCTGCATCCAGCTTTGGAACGCCACCTGGCGCGTTTGGTGGTAAAATTTTCGGAGAGGCACCTACTACTGGAGGTATGTATTCGGGTAATCTTTCACTGACCCAGGGTTTCCGCTTTGTATGCAATCATTGTTTTGGTAACCAAGTGGAACCATGATCGGTCACATTTTAAATTTAGTCAAAATTTTGACATTCAATTCCTTATTATTATTATTATAGCGCGTTCGCACCTCCAGATGCAGTATGGGGTCTTATCACGAACTTATAAATTAAGATGGACTGCTAATGTTGAATTGACAAATGACACCTACATGGGGACAGCCATGATGTGCACTCACTTGGCGCGAAATTCAAATCAACTAATAAACAAGCATTAAGCTTGAGCACTAGGAAAATTTCCCTAGAAAATAACTAAAACGTGCACATCATGGCCGCGCCCATGCTAGGGTCATTTCTACCTCTATGCAACTGTTTGATCAGCAGTCCATCTTAATTTATAAGTTCGTGGGTCTTATGGACTAATTGTCTCTCTTACTAGTTTGCGTCATTCTTCGATAATACTATCCTTGTTTCTAATCGCATTGATGTCAAATTGACATATGATTAAATTGATAGTTATTTACATAATAAGTCATGAACGTGGTCGTTTACATGATGCGGAGGTTTATTGAAAAGTATGAGGACCGAGTATCTCTTTAATGCCTCCCAAGTCAGGAGGACTCACATTATGTATAAAATTTTACCTGAAACTGCAACATGTAGATAACATTTCCAAATTAAATTATTCATATGTGTGAAATTTTGATACCTAATCACCCATGCTAAAATCACTTTATATAATTGTTTCCATAGAGATTTCAAAATAAATGCTTTGTACTTTTCAACTATACAGTCTTTATAACTTGGTACAAAAGCAGGTATCAGTGAAGAAGAGTACCTACCCGAGACGTTGTTATAATGTAGTCGAAGCTGCGGCCGCCGTAGTGCAATATTCTCTCCCCACAAAGTCAAGAAAGAGGTACGAAAAGGGGTACAAACCTTTAATGACTGGCACAAAACTAAAGGAATAATTACTTCCACACATATTCCATTAATTGTTAGTAAATAAAAAACCATTATCCTTGGCGTGGGTATACTAATATTTAAAAATATCCACATAGTCTGCATTATAATTATCCAATCGTTTTGATAACTTATTCAATGAACGATCTAATTGTTATTTTATTTGTTACTCAGTTGTAAACGTTGATTAACCAGACAAAACGCAAACGGGTAAACGTCATGTTTAAACGCTACTGACTTGTAAAACTGACAGCTGACCTGTAAAAATTTTACAAGTTAGTAATCTAGTAATTTCATTGGCCAGAATTAATGCGAAGTCTCTGTGGATAACATGATATTTTAGACATTTCTTCAAGATCAATTTAAGAACTAATTATTTACGTTTACTACTGTTTATAAATGAGTAACAAATAAAATATTTGACATTATACGCCAGGTAATAGTTAGGCCAGCCTGTCATCTCCTAGAGCCAGTAAAAACTCACTTACCTGGCTAATAATGTAATATACTATTACATGTACTAGGACTGTAATGGGAGTCAGGCAAAAATATTACAGTACTAGTCAGGTAAAGATCAACTTTCTAATGTCAAAATAGCCCTGAAATTTAGATTTTCTTGACGGTTTCAGGTATTGTATTAAAACAAAACATAATCTCCTTGTGCTGTCATTGTCACGTTTGGCAAGTATGTACTGTATGTCCATAAGCACCATACTGCATCTAGAGGTGCGAACGCGCTATAGGTCCATGTTGGTTTGGCAAAAAAACATGTTTTTCCCCGAGACTTGTACAGTATACATATTTTTAACGTTTTAGGAGCATTTGCGGGAACTGGTCAGCAGCAGAACTCCACATTTGCAAATTTAGCGTCACAAAGCACCGTTGGATTTGGATCACTCGCCCAACAGTCCCAGCCGCTACAAAACCAGTCGCCTTTCTCAAAGTAAGTAAGAATTCTCTATTATTTTGTTAGTAGTCTATAACTGAAATGCATTAAACCATGGTCCTTGTATATAATCTGTTCACCAAACACATGCAGTTAAGCCACTCCCAATAAATTTTGGCCAATGTAATAAGAGACCCATTTCACACCCACAAAATTATAAAAACCAGGAAATGTAAAAATCGCATGTCACATTGACATGGCTAAGTTACAAAGCGTCATGTTTTCTATATTGACATACAGCAGTAAATTATTTATTGGTACTTGTAAAACAGCGGAACCAACAATTATGCAAATAAAATCTCTGTATCTCTTCGAAAAATGTCTAATATAATTTTTCACATTATCTTGTTTCATCTACTCTTTCCTCTCAAGAAACTAGAGGGTCATGAATTTTCCACTGACTTGGTTATTTAATTTAATTTAAAAATTCACATTCAACTCAAGCACGGCCACACAACCATTTTTCAGTCCTGCCAACTTTAAAATCTCAACAGAACTAGAATTCTAACCAAAATAAACCATAGATGCTATCATCTTGGGCATCACGACAATATCAAAGCAAAATAGCAATAACAGTTAAAGTGAAACAAGCAAATAAAAAACAAATTCAAGGGTTACCTACCCCTAAAGATACTAAGTAGCTGAAGGCACAATAAACCAAAGAATTACAATTACAACTAAGCACTTTACCTTTTGTTATGGCGCCAATCTTACACAAAGATTGACAAAGTTAGAACAAATTCAACTGTATGGACCGAACACAGAAAGGAAATTAACTCTTAATACATTTTACCATGAACCTGTATGAACTGAACAAAATGCAAAATCAGCAAAGCTAAATCAAGACACTATTTCCTACATATACATGGTTCAAAAGTTGCGAATATAAAAATTAAGACCCTTTTGTAAAATGACAGCATAGTATTTTAAAGGTTAATGTATTTCCAGCGGTGTCTCTATACAGGCTGATTCAAATTCGAGGGCCACCATGGGGATCTCGGGAACTGTAAGAGATAGATAGGTAGATTAAATTTGGCAAAGTTGTGTATTTTGATGCTTAACAAAATGCAGTTTTGAAACTTAATAAATTCCGACTACTTTCGGAGATATCCGGAAAAAGCTGAAACTTTCCAAAATCGGTTGTATTATTTACTGAGGTTATTTAAAAAGATATTTCGAAATATATAAAATATATAATCTCTACAAGATGCTAGTTTCAAATGTTAAATCCGACGTTTCGTCTCTGGTTGACCCTCATCAACTTTGTTTTTCCTTATGGAAGTAATTTTTACTTTTTGGGTCATTTGATAGAGAATTCAAAAGAGAGTTCAAAAATATAAACATCACAATTTTTTTAAATTATTAAAATATTTTATTTTTTGACTAGAAAACTTTGTCTTATAATAATAATAATATATAATAATAATATATATTTACTGCATACTTGTAACAAAAAAATATACGTTTGCAGAAGTCACACAATATTGTTGAAATCTAAATCTTCTAAATTTTCAAATTCTGCTACGCTATAAAAGGCATGTTTAATTAATACACATTTAAGAATTTTCCTAAGGCTTAGGATTGATAATTTTCTTATACTTACAGGTAATTTATTAAAAAGTATGACAGAAGTGTACTGGGTAATCCAATAAGACTATTCCTCGGCCATATCTCAAGAACCGTTCGTCATATGACTTAGGGGCAAAAAAAATTGTTGGGTAAATCGGTCATGAAGAAACGCTGGAAAATATTTTCAAGTTCTAAAAATGACCAACAGAGGGCGTAACTGCCATCTTAACCTGCTTTAACTTCGGCATCGGCATTGTAGAAAAGATTATAAATTCAAAAAACTGTACTTTCTGAATGTAAACACAGCAGAAGAATTTACAAATTACGGCTGTTATTATTTTATAATGCATCGTGTTTCATTTGTTTAATTTTTCAAGGCCTTCCTAAAAGTGTAGGGTCCTTTTCCAAACAATCTTTCGCGCCATCGACAATTACCGGAAATACGTCAACTAAGATACAATTTAAGCATTTTTATTAATCAATTAATTAATCTCATTGTCCCAATATTTTTTAGATAGATTTTGAAAAACAGTTTTCACTGGCCTTTTTGTGTTATTTATCATATTTGATTTTTTTAGGATTCTGGATCATAGTGTCAAAACTAGGATTCAAATCGGTCAAATGGTTAAGAAGTTAAAGCAGACTATTGCAAAAACAATTGAACGCCCCACGCCATCTTTGTTTTTGAAATAACTGAGTTTTTGTTTTTACGAAAATGATAGATAAACGGGTTCTCTATAAGAATGTGAAAAAAGAATGTTTAGTTTATTATGTGAAATTTAAAGAAAATGCCATTTTAAAATTCAAGATGGCAGTTACGCCCTTTGGTGGTCATTTTTAGAACTTGGAAATATTTTCCAGCGATTATTCATAACCGATTTACCCAATAATGTTTTTACCCCCAAGTCATACGACGAACGGTTCCCGAGATATGGCCGAGGAACAGTCTTAGTTATTGGGTCACCCGGTACATACATAGTTTCTTGCGTTTTTACGAATTAATAGCGCTATTTATGATTAAAAGATATTGATGTTTACATTTTTGAAATAAAAAAAAATTCTCCATCAAATGACACAAAAATTACTTCCATAAGAAAAAACAAAGTTGATGATGACTGACTGGAGACGAAACGTCAAACTTGAAATTTAAAAGTAGCATCTTGTAGAGGGACAAAAGTGGCCATAATAATGTATCATTTATTTCGAAATATCTTTTTAAATAACTTCATTAAAAAATAAAAACGATTTTGCAAAGTTTCGGCTTTGCCAAATTTAAACTAGGTACCACCTATCTCTTACAGTTCCCGAAATTTCTAATGAACAGCATACCTCTGTATAGGTTATTTTTTGGCCACCAATCAATCAAATGTTGTCATCCTAATTAATGATTTTGAACAACATAATGGGTAGCAGAATCAATATTTGATGTTGAACATCTAGAACTGCTAATAAATAAAATGTCAACAAAACCCAAAAAGTTACAGTGGGTGCAATCAAGACATATTAACTGTGGCCTACTACAATCAGAATTGAAATGGAAGTTCCATAGGCTCTTACAAACACAACTAACTGTGCTTTTTTGATTTCCTGATCATGTTGTATGGATTTAAATTGCTTTCTTTTTGTTGCAGCAGTTCCTCATTTTCAACATGGCGCTAAACACAAGCATCTGTATTTTTTAAATGAAATGTAATTTTATTGATGAAAATATTAACGATTAAATAAAAAACTGTTTTCTACATATATATGTTTATTAGTCCTTCTTAATTATTATGTCGATTCTTAAATATGTGTACACTGTTATCGGTACCGCCAGACACAAGATGTTTTGGATTCGTCCAATCCACACATAACACTTTGCCTTGATGGCCGGACAGATCATACAATGGTGCCTTCGGACATCTGGTGTCCCATAACTTGACACACTCATCATAACTACCGGACATAAATAAGTGTTCGTCGGTTTGTGACCATGTAATCGCCGAAACCCACAGAGAATGCGAGGTGAAGATCATTTTACAAACAGATCCCTCGGTGGAACGAGGATCATATAAACGAACATGCCTATCTGCAGAACACGCAATAATTGATCTGCATAAAGGAGACCATGAAGCACCTAAAAATGCTTTTTCTGCAACGATTTCGCTTTGTAAGCCCCCGAGCTACAAGAAACTAGTTACGCTTACCACAACAAATAATTCGCTTACCTCAGTATCCCACAACTTTATAGTGTGATCCATTGAAGCTGTACAGATCAGTTGTGGCTCCAACCACTGCACCGAAACTACATTCTCTTTGTGACCTTGCAATGTGTGTATGGGTGTTCTCGATGGTAAGTGACTGCTGGATTTAATTTTTTTGTGATGCGGTTCGTAATTCTCATCGGCGTCTAAACTGGCAGACCATATTTTTAAATATGTATCCCACCCTCCGGTTGCTAAACGTTCAGAGTTTGGACTAACACCGACAGAATCGATTCCCCTTTCGTGCCCCCTTAACACTATCACAGGTGAAGGCGATTTATCGCCCGGCTTCCACATCCAGAGCATTCCTGTAAGGTCATGAGAAACTGTAACGAATCCACCTTCTGGGTCTGATTGCTTTAGCCACGAGACTGCTTTGACCAAATTCGTATGCTCCTGGGAGATTGCTTCGTGTTTCCCATGAACGGTCCAAATATTCACAGAATAATCGTAACACCCCGTTAAAATCCTAAACGGTAATAAGGGAATGAATGTCAATTACTTATTACACTTACCATTTGTCCGCAGCTTGTACACCACCTATCCAATCGTCATGTATTAATGCATTTTCTGGCTCAGGAGCCTCAGTTCTTTCAATATACTCGACATCGATTGTTGTTTCGGTTGAAATATTAAACTCCCTCAAATGATCGATCAATGGTAATCTTAGTATTTGACCATTAACTAAGAAATCGAACTTGATAGCCTTCAACTGTCCAGTATAGTCCCCCAATAATTCATTTAATAATTTATTTAAATGAACAATGTTTATATTTTGAGGGACCGAAAACGGCACTCCTGGTACAGCATAGCTAAAATTGGAAATAGGTAAGTGCGATGGAACACATGGGATGTTAATTATTCTACTAGACAAGGAAACTTATGGAAAATAAACTCACATGTCCTGCTTTGTAACGAAACAAATTTCTAGTTGGGGACCAGAATCATCGGTTTCCATTTTTCGAGGATTCGAGATGAAATTTGAGTATGTAATTTAGAAAACAACTTGTGGAAATAACCTAACCTCAACTTTGAACTTCAAAATATGATTTTAACCTCAATTACACAGAACATATTAATACCACAGAATATACGTACTCGCAAACACAAGCGTAGTGCAGGGGGACAAGATGTCTTTACTCTGCCCTCTGGATTATGTTTATTAGTTATTACAATCACAATTTAAAAAAAAATCTATCCCTCGTATTAAGAGGTTCCACCTTGTATATATAACCTACGATCATGCACATTTTTGAGAGCTGGAAACTACGTATTTTTTAGGAGAGGGAAACCTGTCTCGCAGTGCACCAACGCTTCATACGGTTGGCATCTTGTTTTTAATGGCAGTCCTGAAAATGGAGCCATAATTTCTCATCATTTTGTCGTATAATGAACAAGAAGTGCAGATTGCATGAAAAGAAAAGTTTTACTGCACTGCCAAGGCCGATTTAGTTTTATAAAGACCAAGCTGGGCTTATTTCCAGAATCTTGAAAAATGTTTAGTCCATCGCACCTCATGTAACATCAATCCAGGGACACACTGTCTACCATATGATTTACTTATAATAAGAGGCTCTGTCAACCTTAAAGAAGGAAAGACAGAGGAGTGATAATAAATATAATAATGATCGTAAAGTGAAGCAAATTTAATTTGTTTGCCCACCCAAAATATGGACACCTACACTTCATTGGTAAAGCAGCAACCGTAGGTACACATCGTAAAAGGTATTTAAAAAAGTAGACAGCGTCCAGAACCATCTGTACGAAATGACACAATTACTTAACGGCGGCATTCATCTCGAAATATAACTTTAGTCTTAGGTTACCGTATCCAGGACCTTCAAATACATTCCGGATTGGAGGAGGTCCGGCTAATTAACGATGCATTTTTTCTACTTTTTACAAGAAACTTCGGAATGCTATTCTTCACAAATGGGAAGAGATTGGAGGTGCTTTTAAATGTACTTGAGCCTTTCTTTAGCTTATCAAATTTTGTATTAAATTAACGTCAGATTTAAGTTGTTCAAATTCAAGAGTTCCTTCTTTGGATTGTTAATCTTTTTATATTGTAGATGTGATGTAAAATGTGTTTAGCGTTACCTCTCATGCTCCAGATTTTCCCTTTTATAGTTAACCTCTGTGAAGTCATTTGGAATTTTCTTTAACGCGCTTCTTTTGTCCGATGAGTTCTAGGGGAACACGACATTCTTTTGGCTTTAAATGCATTTTGTCTAATGTCTAAATCTATAGGAACTCTTTCGGCTTTTTGATTCATTTTACGTACTTTTGGTCAATTATTCAATAAACTTTCTTTTGTTTTTCAAATTCAATAAGTGTATTATTTGCGTCCCACCTTTTCGATAATAAGCTTGGGTACGGAGGCAACCTGGTTTTTCACAACGTAGGAGATCTCCGGCCATTGTTGAATGCGAAGTTTGTATTGTAATGTTCCTAGGGGGTATATCAAGCAGACACTGAAAACGTTGACTTACCCTATACTTACCGTTGGCAACCCTGGCCTACAATCAGAGCCACCTACCTTTCAAGTCAAAACGATGGAAGTTTCGCGGCACTTTTGTATTTGGATGACAGTCGGCTCGATAGGGATGGCATGAATGAACTCTTACGTTGTGTAAGCGGTTCTTTATGTGTTGGGACGTGAGACATCATCGGGAAGGGAATTAAATAAAAGACAGAACTTTTGTGCGTAAGAAATGACAAGAACAAATAAATATATTAAAACACACCAAAAAGACCATGCCAGGGAAACCTTCTACGGGACAAAAACCCCGGCATAGGCCACACAAGTACATGAAATAAATCATCTACAGCAATAAAATGCAAGAGAAAATACACATAAATAAAACATATCAAATTGTATGATAAAAATCAGATAATCAAATCAAATGTAATTAAACAAGTTCATAAAAACAAAATACCCAAGACATCATAAATGCAGTGGAAAACATGATAAATCAATTCAGTACAAAAACATCAAAATACCTGTACCATCAATTGAGATACACAACTCATAAAATAAATAAATTGCATGTACATAGGAAACCTCAAAATGGTGTGGCTCTACTCCAGCCCTCTGTTAACATAATTTAATTTAACACGAAAAGTACATGTGAGAATGCCATTGACCAATAGCAAGTATTCATGTGAAAATCGATTATCGCTCAAACAGAACATATTTTAAATAAAAGAAATGTTAATTCGAGGAACCCTTCTCATATTGCGAGGCACAAAACTGCAGCCTACATGAGACGAGCAGGTAACAGATACAGCGAACGGTCGAACGTTACGGATCAATCGGACAGAGCAACATCGCACTGATAATCAACTCCTCGTGAATAACGAAAGTAAATACTTAGGGCCGATTGCACAAAGGCAGTTTAAACCTCGTTTAGATTAACGCAATGGATTAAGACATATGATTGGTTGAAATTTGACGTTTTATCAAATTTCAACCAATCTTAGACCATAATCCACTGGTTAATTGCAAGCGAGGTATAAACTGCCTTTGTACAACCGGCCCTTAATTACACAAAACAATGGCATAATCACCTGTACAGTATAACAAACAAACATGTATCATTTGACGGTACTCAAAACAAAGGCACGGAGTACTCCATGATTCAGATATCGTAGTTTATACAAAATCAGCAAAATATAAATAATATCAAATTGTGGCTAGAAATTCAATGATAAAATAGCTAGTACAAGAAAGAATAAAATGGTTACTACCTGTAAATACACCTTCAAAACATCACCACCAAAAAAATCAAGAATAAAAAAACCGGGAAAGCGTGTGCCTTCTGCTTAGACCATATAGTACATGGACTGCTAATTGTAACTAAAATATGGTCAAGGACATCGCCTGGGTATGTGAGTTTCAGGGTAAACGAATCTGTCCGAAGTTGTCCGCTTAGACACGATTTGAGACTGTCAACCTATAAATTAACAAACGTCAATTATTTAATCGCCTAGATATGGCAAAAAAAGCAAACCTATTCTTATTTGTGGACGTATAGAAGATTATCAAGAGTATTTAAAGCTTCCCGTTGTAGTGTACTTAACCCCCAGGTTCTATGCTAACTTCACACTACAAGAACACGGAAATAAAATAAACCCGGCAACGTTTTAAAAAATGGCCACCCGAATGACTATTCCCTCTAAAACTAAACAAGTACCCGCTTAAATTTGAAAAGTGGCACGTGATAAAACATCGAAGGCAGGGCCCCCTTACGTTAGTTGTAGACAACGCTTTGACCTGAAGCACAGTAGGGAAGGAATTTTAAATAAAACACTGAAATTGTGAGAAGTTTGTTTAATAATGATCGTAATTATTATGATTGTGAAAACCCGGAAATTTAGTTGATGTACATTAATATAAACAAAACAAACAAAGCCAAAAGGTGTCGTACTCTCGCAAAAGTCACTGCCAAGGATAAAAAGAGTACGACGTAAGAAAAACCTTGCAGTTTGATTAAAACAGTCCAAAAGTTAATTAACAAAATATTTTGTAAAAGTTTAAGCAGTAGTTAACAAAGATAGTAAATGCATATACACAAGGATGGTTACACTCAAGGTTAAAAGCAAGTTTTTGGGGACAATGGGCAGGTAGAAGCAGGTACCAAGATTCTGAGAAAGGGTTAAAAGTACAGGATGTGACTCATCTTTGGTGCAATAAAGTCCTTTTGTTGAAAGCAAGATGGAAAACTACATGGCCTTGTAGGCAAATTTGACTAAAAACAAAATATGTGGAAATGATTGAATCGCCACTCATTTATCACACATAGATTCTAAACTGAAGAGCTTTGATTAGCGTAATCTCGCTCCTGCAAGATGGGTAGTCCGCCCCTGGTTTCGGGGTTTCGAACCTACAGTTGGATGTCGAAGACAGTGCACGGAATTAGGTGCCCTAACACATAAATATAGACTACAGTTTCTTTTTCCACCTTCCCGAGACTGCTTCATTCACGGAGAAAATTGTTAGTAACATACAACAAGTCAGTACATACATCAAACGAATCAGCAATTTCCACATAAGTATTAAAATAAAATGAAAACTTATATGAATGTAACTTCAAGGACAAGACCAAGTAATCAACATCAATAAACATAAATTAAGCAAACATTACACCAAAAATGTAAACAATTAATAACAATAGCATAACGGTATCACACATATGATTGCATTGCGGTTAAACAAAGTAAATTTCAAAAACAGAGATTCAAACACACAACAAATATAAAATGCGGCATACAAAACACAAATACGATATAAAGAAATGCAAAAATTACTACCTGCATTAAATAACACAAAATAACAACAAACATTTATGGAGCGAAACGTTCACTACCTCCATTCAAGACCAGATGCCAAACGTAACTCCCGTTCGTGCTTTCTAGGTGGCGCAGGCAACTTTTTTTCCCACCTAGAAATTGCATGGTTGCCAACTCTCAAAAATGTATGTATCGTCGTAAGCTGTATATACAGGGTGGAACCTTTCACCGTACTACGCGGTTACCATAAAAGCTACACTTTACGCAATTCGAGTGGTGTTCATACGACTTTAGTTTACCCTGAGATTCACATGCCCACGACTACAGTGCCCTCTATCCGTGACCACCCATTTTGTATTGAAAGCATAGGGCTAATAGCAGTCCATGTACTATATGGTCTAAGGCCTTCTGTCGACCTCGTCGCCATCTTCTTCATTTTTCTAGTTTCATTACGAAAATCCCCTAGTATTCGGCATCTGCGCAAAACGGTCGTTTGGTTATATACAGAGCATATCATATTTTTGTTTCAGATGTAAAGGTGTGTTGCCTAACCATAAGGGTGGATTATCACAGTATTACTCATCTTTTTCCCGCTTTTATGAGTGTTTAGCTTGGTACATCACAGTGTCATATCTCCCGTTATCTTTCCGTTTGATTTTCTCCCTTGGGGGCATTGAAACTGCTAGTTATATGGAAATGAACGGTTAGTAATAGATTTCCTAATTACCTATACCACAGATATACGCGTGCCTATACTTTAGC